CGAGCGAGATCCCCGCCCTGGAAGCGCCTCGGCGACCAGGCTCTAGGTCGCCCGTTCCGGCCCGCCGCACTCAGGGCAGCTCCGACCTGGTCACCTGCAAAGCGCGGGGAACCGCCAGCCGCTCAGCCGAGACCTGACTGGGGCTGCCGGATCTGGAGTGCTGATATCCGGACGACCACTAGGAGGCAGCAAAGAGGGAGAGAACCCCTTATTCGGGCATCGCGATAGTATGGAAGGCGGCTAGTTGGGCTTGGGGTTTGGGAGAAGTCATAAATCGTTCAGCGGGTCAGCTGTGGCTCTCCAGATGTGGCTTTTTGTTTCCTCCTCTGGCATCTCCTTAAGTAAAAACATGTCCGAAGCAGGGAGACAACTAATTCAAAACACTTTGCAATAAATTCCAAGCAGCTCACTTTTAATAAAAACGTTTCTAACCAAAACCTGTAAAATACCATAAATTCAAAGCATAGGATGGGATACGGAGCATCACTTACAAAACCAAAGATGCGGGCCTTCTTCTCTAAGCTCAGAGTCATCTGAATGGTCAGTTGCTGAGAATCATAGTTCTGATGTGCTTTGTAAGCTCCTGGGAAGTACGGCACTCTCTTTGCTTCTCTCGTTGTGCAAAACAAGGCATTAATAGTGTTATACAAATGAGTATTCATGAGAGACTGTACAGTGTCTCCCTCTTTCATAATATAATGAACCAGAAAAGTATAAAGAAACTGCTGAAAAAGAGAAGATGCAGTTATGTTACTAACACAGTAGAATCTTTCAGCAAAATGAATATTCCCAAACACCCACATTTACAAACAGCTGGGGATGAGAACACACCAAATGTGTGAAAAAGCACCTGGGCTGCTTCATTTTAACAATGAAAACATGGGATAAAAGTTGGCGTCAGTTTCGGCCACGTTTTAAATTGATTCCCAAACTGCCAGACAGCATAACAGATATTGCGGGGAGGTGGGTAACCAGTGTCCTGCAGCTCCATTCCCAAGCACATTTTTGGGCCTCCACAGCCCTTTGGAGTGTGCCACAAATGGGGTGAGGGTGATTCATGTGTGGTGAGAACACAGATTGTAATCCGATCCCCCAAACACTTGATCCGGTCCTAAACAAGGCACAGCGACTGGGTCTAGGATTAAGCAGATTGAGGGGGCGCAGAGCCATAAGAAATTGGAAGGCACAATAAAAAAACAGCAAATCTCCCTACCCAGCCAGATACCCTCCAGGTCTGGTGCATCTGAATGGTATCAAGCTGGAAAAGACTGTAAGAAAGTAAGTAAGTTTATTGTTGCAACCACAGGTCATAACATAGGAATGCCATAAAATATAATAAAATAACAATCAAATAATAAAATAGTGAAATTATAAAATAGAATAATAGAAAAAGTATTAGATGTAACAAGGTTACAACAAAATAAAGCCAAAGCTACAACTAAGAACTTAAGTATTTCTTCCTAAGTTTAACTGACAGCAGAGCAAAAATACATAGTCCTCAATGTATAATTGGGACCAGAACTTCCGTTGCTAAGCAATGCAGTTGTTAAGTGAGTTGTGCCCAATTTTACGTTTTTGCCATGGTCGTTAAGCGAATCCAGCTTCCCTCATTGACTTTGCTTGTTGGAAGCCCCCTGGGAAGGTCGCAAATGGCAATCATGTGACCCCGGGATGCTGCCTCCGTCGTAAATACATGCCACTTGCCAAGTGCTCAAATTTTGATCACATGACTGCAGGGATCTTGCGACAGTCGTAAGTACAAGGACTGGTTGTAAATCACTTTTTTCAGCACTGTCATAACTTCAAATGGTCACTAAGTGGATGGTCATAAGTCGAGGACTACCCGTAGCAACTTGGATGCTGACAGTTGGAAAAACATCTGCAAGAAGATAGTTCAATTTTTCAAGGTTGGAGCCCTTGAGTTCATCTGCCATTAATAATTTGACCCTGATCTCATTGTAAGTGGGGCAGGAAAAGACTGCAGTGTGTGTTATCGAATAAGAGCTCGTGTCATAAACTAAGAGAAAATAAAACAACATAAAGGAAAACTTGCTCCTTAAAACACATTTACCATGTTCTGGAAACCCTTTATGGACTTTTTGCTGAAAATGAATAAAAATGAACTGCGGATTTTGGGATTTATTGATTAAAAAGGTTTCTTTATAGGAAGAAAGGAACTATGATATACAATATGGGAGGGTGGTAATTGCTATGTTTGTAACTGCCACAAAGAAGATCAGAGGTCGCTGCTTTAGATATTTTTCTTTTTCTGACTTTTTTTATTCTTCACTTTTTCTTTTACCCTTTTATAATCTATTTCTATTTCTTTTTCTATGTTTCTGTAGTTTTTGAAATCTTTGTAAAATCTTTTAATGAAAATTATTTTTTTTAAAAATCACCATGTTAATTTGGTGTCAGCTTTGTTAGTCTTCTCTAATGAATGTAATGTTTTGTATCTTTGACAGTCAGGAATGCAAGAAATGACATAAATTATAAACATCCATAAAATGCTATACTGTGTATCAGTGTCTCTCAACCTTGGCAACTTTAAGATGTGTGGACTTCAACTCCCAGAATTCCCCAGCCAGCATGAAGGCCTCATATCTTAAAGTTGCCAAGGTTGAGAAACACTGACAATATATTGTGGCACGACACAACCTGTCTATGAGAAGCAGAGTATCCTCACCTTATACTGACTTCCATGTACTTAAACCAAAGCAGAGCCTGGTAGGAAACCACTTTAGCTACCTTACCCTCAGTCATTTAAGTGACTGACTACATTGGATTAATTTTGTGGATCACACCGCAGACCAACTGAGCTTTAACCAAATTGCCATCCTGGGTGTTAAAAATGTCCTGATTTAAATCCCCAACCCAAACCCTTAAGATGGGAGATGCGTTTATGGGAAAGACCACATTTTACAGAAATTTTAAAGAGGAAACATTTGAGTCATGACAACAGAAGTTTAACATACAGTTCAGGGGTGTCCACAACATATGCTAAAAAAATGTGTCTTACATGTGCAACACACATAAAGAACAGGCATAGCTTTGATTGTACTGTCAGAGTCACCAACTTGACTTTTTTGACCATATCCTGCAAACACCCTGATGTAATTAGACACCCCCCCCCCATTTGTCCCATTTTGAAAATCCAACTGGGGCATGTTAAGTGATGCTTCTGACTATCTTTTCACATCTGCAACCTTCTAGTCGGAGCCAGACAAGAGGTAATGTTAATTACAGACACTGGCTAAAATCACAGCAAACAGCGAATCCCAACCTAGTAAGTTCCCTTTCAGTCTAGCGCAGTGATGGCAAACCTATGACACGCATGTCAAAGGTATCATGCCACGACATTTTGGATGAAATGCTAGCATTCACCAACCCCCAACAATAACTATTCATTCTCCCTGTTTGAGTTACCAAAGAAACTGAGTTTGTTTTACTTGTATTTCATTTTTGTAATTATTTGATTTTTTTTATATAATACATAGCACCGCACATGATTGGACTGTATTTTTTTAAATAAATGAATATGTAAAGAATTGTTTCTCTGAAAAGTAGTTAATAAGCAATTTCCCAATGGAAAAGGAAGTGTGCAAACTTAGTGTCCTTTTAAAGGCGCCAAACACAGTTTGAGCAAGATGGCTATTCCCTCATCTTCCAGTGCTCAAAACCCACCAGAGAAGGCTGTCTGGAGCAAGTGTGGGCAATTTCTGGTCCTCTCCTCCATCCGGAGAGATTCAGGGAGCCGGTCTACTCACCAGGTCTTCATTCTTTGCTGTAGTTGTCGGCTCTGCTTTTCGTGAAGCCGTCTTCAGTTTGTCCTTTCTTCCTCTGGAAGTTGACCCAGCAGAGTGTTTCAGATGTTCTCATCTCAGCCTAAGCTATGAGCTTATGGTTCAGGAAGTAATGCAAAGTAGTCAATACAGGCTCATTCACAACCAATAGTTATGGGACTGTTTCTTGCACAAACACAGGATGTCTGTTTTTTATATAAAATTAGGACTCAGTATTCTGAAGAGTCAGAAGCAACTGAACAATTGGAAAACAACAACTAATTTGTAAGTATTTCTTACTGAGAGAGCAGAAAGTGGAATTATTTTCTGCCTCTCCCTGGTC